AAAGAAAAAAGAAATGGAACCGCAATTGGGAAGCCATGCCAATGACGCAACTACTTTTTTTCTTCTCTCTCCCTGCACGGGGTCAAGTCATTGTATAAAAGAAGAATGACGGAGACAGGCATCGCTCGCAAATAACTCTGTCTGCCGCCTACCGCGACCACTAGGGTGGGGCAGCCGCACGTGAAGTGCATACAACACGCTACAACTTTCGTCTCGAATCTGTGCTTGAGAGAAAGCGCTATTTCGATTATTTTCAGATCATAACGCACTTACCCCTTTTTAGACTTCAAATTAATCTTTTAATGTGGACAACTAAGCAATTAATTTCCAAGCAAAAATCAGTGTACACTATTGACAACCATAAAACAAACAGGACATGCATGCTTATATCAATTTAATTTATCTTAAATCAAAAAATAAATTAAAAAAATATTATTTTATAGATATCATAGATACCGATTATTTATTAATAAAAAATAATCACAATTTTTATTATTCAAAATTCACGAATTGTACTTCGATTTTGACAAAATTGCTACATGGAAAATGCACCGAATGAAAATTTCACCAAATAGAGAAAATTCACTTGTTTTTTGTTAAAAGCTACATTTTGATTAACACAACTGATTTGAAAAAAAATAATAATTAAAAAGCATAAAATTATGAAGAAAAGTTGATAAATAATAAATTTTTTTATCCACATGATGCATACGAATTAATACGAATTATTTATTTATAAAAAATTAAAACGAATTACTTTTAATGCTCAAAATTCACAAATGTTCCAGATTTTTAACAAAACTGTTTTACTACGAGTAAACATTTCATCATACTAAGAAAATTCACTTGTGGTATGCTAAAAGCTACAGATCAATTCACACAATTGATTAGAAAATCAATAATAATAATTTTTAAAAAAAAGCACGTGCTCTGTCTACACTCGGAATCGAGCCAAGAAACTAATAAAAATAGAGCCCTATATCATCCCGACATATAGTGCAAACGATTTTAAATTCAGTTTGCTGAAATGAACGGTCAGAATAAACTGAGTAGACACAGACAAAAAAAAAAAAAAAAANAAAAAAAAAGAAGAAGCTTCGTCACATATTTAAAAGTTCACGTTTCATCAAAAATCACTCGATTTCGTAACGTCTAAAGTAACGAGAGATCGTCGAATCGCCAAAAATGAAAGTTCGGTTATGAAAAAGCACAAGCGCAAACAAAACTAACGTTGTTAGGGAACGTTTCACCGAAACGCTTAAACACATGAACCGAATGATTCACTATTTGCTCATGAATTACCGATAGATATTTAAGCCCTGTTTAATCTATGTCGCGTGTACTAGAGCTCGAAAAGAAAAATGCAGAAGCATTTTTTCCTTATCAGAGGATACAGCTTGAAGTGAGGAACATCTGTTGATTTCCTGTGTCTGACAAAAGGAAATATAAAACATTACCTGGAAAACATCCGGAAATTCGCAACACCAAATGATCATTGACTACATTGTTAGACATATTGTGGTGCGCGTTGGACCATAACATCTTTCAAATTTGTTGCAACCTTAATATGCCATTATCCTGCTAGTTAAACTTCACCACAAGATACTATGGTTTAAATTGCACGGCAATGTGGTTTAACGCAACAATTTATTAGGATTGAAGTAAAATAGCTCTATATGGTTCGAAGTGCCGTATGGTTTTAGACATATTGTGGAGCGCGTTGAACCATAACACCTTTCAAATTTGCTGCAGCCTTAATATGCCATTATCCTGCTAGTTAAACTTCATCACAAGATACTATGGTTTAAATTGCACGGCTATGTGGTTTAACGCAACAATTTATTAGGATTGAAGTAAATTAGCTCTATACGGTTCGAAGTGCCGTATGGTTCAACGTTGAACCGATTTTTTTTTTCAGAGTAAAGGCAATATCCTTCCTGAGCAAAAAATTATTTAGTCACGTTTAAAGCAAAACATATTGGAGCTACATACTAAAATAATGTGTGCCAATGTACTAAAAAAATGTGAAAGTTAGCAAAGGAAAACAGATTTCGTCTCCAAAAGCGACATAGTCCAATGAAGCATCCAACAGACTTTTAAATATGAAGTTATGAAACGATGCAGTTCATTTGAATATCGTTAATGCGATGAAAAAGTTCGGTGTTTTATGCAAGATTTTGGAAAACAAGTAGTTAAGCATTTATATATATATTTTTCCTAAGTGGCGCCTCAAACTCGGGTGTCTATTAGAAACATAGCTATTTTCCATTTTGTTAGGTTGTCGTTAGTAATAAAATTGTAGTAAGTAAAGGTAGTAATAAAAAGTCAGTTATACGTTAAGCATTTACTTAGATAGTAGTAAGTGAAGTTCAGTAGCTTTAAAAAACTAGTTATAAGTTAAGTATTTATTAAGATTTTTTTGTTAGGTTATCTTAAATAATTATAGCGTTGAATAGTTAGCTATACGTTAAGCATCTATTTATTATCTATTTTCTTTTAAAAATGGCTGTAGAAGTTTTAAACATAAACGGTGGTATGGCGCCGCATACTGTCATACCAATGATTGTTGACGGAACTTGTCTTTTACGAGCAATAGCATACATTGTACGATACTCATATTGTACGATACTGCGGCTTGAAAGGTGAGTGAGGAAATAGAACAGCACGTGATGAAACATTGAGATGAGTCTTTTTTTTTTTCCTCTTCCTTTCTTTCTTTTTTTTTTTTAAAAAAAAAATCTTATATCGCGACAGAGATGGAAATAATTCCATTACTTTTGCTGCCTACTATGCTGAAATGTTCCGAGTTCATAACTACGGTGGCTTGTGTTATTTAATGGCTGCCGGACAGACTTTAAATTATCATAAAATTTCAATACAACTTTGGCTGCATCGTGAAAATAATTAAATTTAAACTCAAAGCCACAGGAAACAGCTAGATGGTGAAAAAAAATTGGTTAATATACTGTCTAAAACTAAGTTACTTGAATAGGAGGGGTTAAATAATTAGAATATTTAGATAAGCTCTGCGCATTCGGCTTTGTTATCATTAAATATTGTATGTTGTTCAAGATAATTTTGAAAGAAAACCAAGTTGGTCGCTTAAGGTGGTTTGTTCTTTGATAAAATACTCCGCAGAAAATTAATTTGGGATATAATGTAATAAAAAAGAATATTGATCTGTATGAACTAATTTCTTAAAATAAATTTCTTAATTTAAATCTATAAATTTTTTTTTTTTAATTTATTTACATCGAATAATTTTTAAAAAAATTTTTCTTCACACCTAAAAGTTTATAAAATACTTTAATCAGTAATAATTTGTTAGTAGAACGTAAAAATAGAAAGCAATACAGCATAGCATATCTAATTTCTTATTATCAAAATGAAACAATAAGAAAGTAGATAACGTGATAACCCTTAGTCTAGCACATTACCTAGGAGTGTTCCCCAATATTTAAATTTACAACTACAACCGTATCTCGATAAAATTGCGTAAAGATAACCATTGACAGTCTTAAAATAAAATGATGAAAAATATCACTTCATAGATGTAGGTGAAAAAGTATTAGAATTCGCCAGAAATGTATACACAAAATACGAAGAATGTTTATTGTACACTAACATAGAAATTCGTAAACTACTGCGTCCCCTTTAACACCACCCTTACTGAATAGTAAATTTTATTATTAATGTATTAAAAAAGAAAATTTTTCTTCAATGTTAACTATTAGTAAAAGAAACAAAAACTGGAATAGAGTTAGAGGCTCTAAAAATGGACATGCTACACCATTTGCTTTAGAAAGAAAGGAAAAGAAAGGACATTTAATTTCACTATTTTTGATAATTAGATTAACATTTAAGAAATAAATGGCAACAGATAATTTTTTTTTCTGTAACTCTATAAGATTATCTATACGCTATGTTGCTAGAGTAAGGGGGAAAAGACAGAATGTACAAAAATGTTGCACAAGTAAATAATAGAGGGAGTAACAAAAACGTAGGTGAGTCACAATTTCTTTTTTTTTTTTTTCACAACCGAACTTTTTTGGCGAAAAGGGATATGTATTTATATAATTAAACATTCGCTGCTGAGTGGGAATTTATAAGAGTAATGAAGAAACGTGGGTTGAGTTTTAAGATCACGTTTACTATATAGATTTAGACTTTAAGACAGAATTGGGAAGTATGAATAAAAATTATGTATTGTACTGCCATTGAACGAATCTTTTGCAATGATTTCTCATTAGAAATAATAAGACAAAACTTAGTTTGTTTGACACGAAACTCGTTAATTTCAGCACATTTTATTCAGCGTTAACGAAGATCACGCATACATAAACCACCTGTTTTATAGAATGGCAAAATAATAAATTTTGCATGAAAATCGAAAAGCGCATCATTAGAATAGTTTATCATGGTTGTCAACATTAACCTTCCTAATCACTCACAAAAATACAGAAATAAATTTTTATTTTTCAAAAAGGAGAAAATTTCACGCCAACGGCGCACTGACGGGGAATTATAATGTAAGAAATTATAAATTTTCTTCGATATTAAAAAGTAAAAGGAGAAAATATCGCGCACTGCAACGTTAATACAACAGTTTAAGCTTTGTTTTAAAAACAAACTGTTAGCAATTCAATGTTTTTAAATTTTCAGCACTTTAAAAATAGCTATGCTCTTTATTTTTAAAAGTTGAACGCACGAAATAAATTGATATAATATATATTTTACTTTACATTATACACCTTTTACACAATAATAATAAGACAAGAGCTATGAAATAATTTGAACTCTAGTTCATTTTTCATAAATAGAAAAATAATTTTTAATTAAAAATTAGTGAAAAATAACAACACTCAAATATTATATTTAAATTTGATTGCTTTTTTAAAAAAATATATTCTTAGAAAACTATACAACATGGAACAAAACAAAATCGTTGAAATTATTTGCAATGAATTATTAAAAATATTTGACTATTAATTAACACTTACCAGTCGTAGATGGTCGCTATCTAAAAAATCATCCTTCGTACGAAGAAAACAAACTATTAGATTCACAGTGATAAATGTTTACACAAAATCCTCGCCGAATGATAATGAATTATTAGTTCAGAACAGTATCACAAATACAAAAAATCGCACAGTCGTTTGCAAACGAACATTCGAAAAAACGGGACACAGTCGCGTCTATCTCCGCGGAACTCCGGCCGACTACGAACTTGCGTCACAGATTTACACCACAATTTCACAAATAGAACTTATCTCACTCGCGGCTCGTTGCCGACTGTGGCTGTAGGGTTACCGAGAATCGACATTATTGCTCGTTCCGCCTGGTCGCCAAATGCGGGTCGCGGTAACAACGCCAAGGGATCTCCATTGGAAACGAAACCCATTGCGAAACAGACGATGCGGATGATGGCCCGGTGTTGGATTTTTTTGTTTTAATGACGTCAGTTTATGCCTCAGATCGTAGTTTCGGCTTTATTTATGTTGCTAGAAAAGGCACATCACGTTTAAAAGTTATACCCGGAAATCGGAAACGGGATATTTTAACAGCCTTTGATTTCGGATTTTAGAAAACAGAGAAGCGATCCTTTTTATTGGCATTGGTAAATATTTAAAAATAGATGATACTTGGAAAAAGTTGAATTATTTTTCTGTTCCTATCAAATTGCTTTGAAAGAATTGATGAATATATTAATAAAATGCATACACTTTTAAATATCGAATTGTAAATGTGGCGTATGTACCACTACGATTTTTAAACATCACTTCACTAATATATAAGACATGCAAACTCGATTCAATCTGAAGATCTCTTTTGATAGATTGTCGGTTTATATTCTCCACACATTGGTGACCCGAACGTGATATGAACTTCCCTACAGGTAACGCCCACTTCGATGAATGGTGCACATTGAACAATTTACTTGCTAATTGTGACTGCGTCATTATCCTCCTCGCGCTTTTGCTTTTCAGTCTCAATTACATTCAACGGAATCCACCACTCTCGACTGCTAACAGCAACACAGGAGAGGCCACACACACAACCGTGAACTTAATACAGCTCTCACAAAAAACGCTCCAAACAAGGTGAACTAATACAGCTCTTACCTCAAGCGCTCAAATCCGGTAAACTTAACACAGCTCTCCCGGTCCTTCGCGAATGCGGCAACTAGTGGTATCTGTTCATCGAATTCTGTCCGTGATAAAATTCTGGTGTGGGACTATTGTGGCATAACTACCACTTAAATTGTTAAACATCAATTCACTAGTATATCATTCACTATCAAACTAGTATATCATTATATATCAAACATCAATAAACTAGTATATAAGACATGCTAGCTCGAATCAATCGTGAGGTACCTTCTGATAAATGAAGATTGTCTGTTTCTATTCTCCACATAGTAAACACCAAGAATAAAAAATTCTTCAATTGGTTAATTACTGTAAAAAAAGTTTAACAATGAAAGTTCTTACAAAAATATATTAATGAATATTTTATCTTAAAACCATAGTATGCATTAAAATCCTCAGTATCATGATATGATTAAACTGCGTTGTTTACATTCTTCGTTTAAATGTTATACACCTTTCCTCTGGGAATTCTGAATACCTCCCCACTGTCTGGAACAATAAAGATACTACATTAAAAATTTCTTCAGATGCGTAATTTTCAAATTAAAAATTATTTAAGAATCATTCATGCCGAAATTTTCAAGTGAAGAAAAGCTATTCAGTTTTTAATTTTATCAATTATAAGCGTGAAATATATTTTGAACAGTTTAGATTTGGATGAAACAGAGACGGGATTCTAAAAGAACTAATCTATAAGATGGAACAAGTAATCTTTTTCCTGCACTCTCTAAAGATCTGATTCAACATTTGGCCGTTACTTAGAGCCAAAATGCGCTACAAATTCGCTGATTCCTTAATAAAAGGCTAAATGGAACCATAGTACGAGTAATTAAGTATAAGAAGTACGTTAATATACAGTCCCTAGCCAAAATATTAGACGCGCTATAAGATTTATGTAAAATCTTAATTATCAGGCGATACTATACAGCTTTATTGTTTATACGTTACTGAAACCGGTTTGCATTTATTTACGTTCGTGTATCACTTGGTTAACATTGTAATGCAATGCGTTAAGACTAAATACAAATAGGAAGCATATAAAAAATCTCTTGAATAAAAACCCATTTCATGTGTGTTTAAATATAAAAGTATTGCATACAAACTCATGCAAAACATTCAATTATTAAAAAAACTACAGTCAGGTCTAATAATTTGTTCTAATTATTATAATATACTAATATAATACCTGATATAATAAATATTCTATATTTACATAATATATCGTCTAATTTACCCAATCGTCNAACAACTAAAACAAATAACAACAACTACTAATAACACTAACTAAATAAACAACAACTAAATTCCATTCGTTTAGCATTGCGTCATATGTTGTTCCTACTAAATCGAAGTAGTTGTGTTTTTTTCATATTATACCCAATTGATACACGAACGTAAACAAATGCAAACCGGTTTCAGTCGCATAAAAACAATAAAGCTGATTAATATCACCTGATAATTAAGATTTCACATGGAATCTTACAGTGCACCTAATAATTTGGTCAGGAACTATAGTAGAATAATATAGTTCAACGTGGCACTATATAACGGTTGAAGCAAATTTATTCGATATATTTAATTTCACATAATCCAAAATTTACGATACTGTATTTAGAGATGAGTGGTTCTCACCCGCAGACATATATATTGCAAATGGAGAAGAACCTATTCAAAGGAATATATCGAATGGCATTTTGAAAATATAGAATTTCTTCAAGCATTGATTTCTAACCCACGCTTTTGACGCTTATTACGGTTCTAAACAATAAAAAATAAATAAATTAATAATTTATTTGGAGATTAATATTTCTCTGTAATGTGAATGCTCTCTGTTATATAAAATGTGTTAAGTGAAATTTTGAAAACATCCAATTTTATCAAGCATTAATTTACTCTTCCCCATGTTTTTAAAGTTTATTATGGTTCTAATCGCTTTAAAAAAATTTAATGGTGTTTTTAGAGATTATTAGTTCTTTTCTGCAGATATATTGCAATTAAAGAATCTAAGTGTTGAGTGAAATTTTGGTGCTTAATAACCTAGATATTTCATTAGCTCTTTCCATTTCAAATAGAGTGAAACCCCGCTATAGTGAACTCCCGGATAAAGTGAACGAAATGTTTGCTCCCGTGCCTTGCTATACCCATATAATTTTATTTTTTGTGGATATAGTTAACTAAATATAAGGGGGTATTGGATATTATGAACTTTTTTCTGTCTTCGACTGATTTTTTTCCCTCAGAATTTTGAAATTCATATACCGATTTTTAAGACAATCTATTAAGTGGAATGCAGCCATAAGCATTTTTTCTTATTTGCTTCTTCTATCTCAGTTTCCCATCCCTAAATTTTTTGTACGCAAGACGAAGAGTAGGGTAAACTAACCAGTGAAGGAACACTTAAGCTTCGCTTGCCTTCTAAAAAATCATATTAATTTCAAAATTCGTAATTTNACACATTTTTTGTTACTACATATTGTTTTTTAATCCTTTTTGTCTTCCTTTTTATTGGCCATTTATTTAAATAATGTGTAATAAAAGAGTGTAATTTAGAAAAATTAGTTAAAAATGTTTGCAGTACGGATATAGTGAACCGAAATTTCGGTCCCTTGAAGGTTCACTATAGCGGGGTTTAACTGTACTATTTTGTACACAATTTCAAAGAAAATTCTTAACTTCTGGCTAGAAAGGAAGGGGGGAGGGAAACACAATATTTGATATAGCATATTATATTACGGAAAAAGCTTTGATTTTAAGTAGGATTTTTTAATTTTTCAATTAATTAGGGTTCAAATCCTTTATTAATTGTAATACTTTTTGCAAAATGCCCAATATTATTCGTTTGATAGACATTTTTAAACAAAATTCTATTGTAATTTTAATGTTTATATTGGAATAAATAAATAATAAAGTAAAGTTACATTCGAAGGTAATTTCATACAAAATCATTTCTACTCGTTTAATTTAATATTTTTTGATCATTGTATGTTTACATACATCGTTATTATTATAATTATAAAATAAAGATATCACTATAAGGTGCCGAAAAAATGCATAGACTGTGATATTTTTCTGGTTATTCTTTTTTAACTGTAATTTTAAAAAATGCGCTTTTTCAATTGGTCAAGATGTCGAAAGCCTCTCTGTTTTATGTTTAAGGTAGTGTCAGACAATGAGAATCTGGTAAGAGGGAAGGAGAATTGAGAGAAAAAAATCTTCAACATATGCATCAGAAAATGAAATAATAATAATACATTAATAATACAATAATAATATTATAATATTAATATTATAATATTAATATTAATAATAATAATGGTAATAAATTTCTTTAAAAAAATAAAATCCATTGGTTTCTCTTGATCTCTAAATTTAAAATTAGAATCAGAAAGTGAAGCTACAACAAGATATCAAAGTAATATCTTTATTATGGAATTTTTCTGGTTACTCAAACGTGTGGCAATAAATCTCAAGAAAATGTGTAGTATAGCAGATATTTTTCTGGTTATTCATCTTCATACCAACTCAAGCCGGAATAAAAATGCACGTTAGGATACGATGTTATTCCTATTTTAAATTAAACCATCTTTTGAAAAAATAAAAGAAAACTATGTAATGATAATAGTAATAGTAATAATTATAAAAGACAATAAGATATCAAAACGAGTATTTTTGATTGTCTGGTTGGTAGGACGTTTTGCTCGTGCTCGTGAGAGCGTGAGTTCGAATCCCATTCGCGAGAAGAATCTCCGTGTATTAAACGGTGACTGGTGCACTTTAAATCTGTCGAGGTCACAAAGTCCTATAAGTTTCCATAATAAATCACTACCTCTGAGGAGTACTGAATTGGAGATTGATTGTTCAGGTCAAAATTACGATCTGTGGATGAATGAATGCAGTACGATTGAATCCTTCCTGCAAAACGGGCTGTGACGTGTGTGGTGCTGAAGCCGTATTCTTGGCCAATGATGGTGCCACTGAAAAAACAAGAAACGCACCCTCTGCCTCCTTTTTTTTCTTTTGTTACACAAAATGTAGCAATGGATGTCAAGACCCGTGTAGTAAATGATGACTGATGCACGCTAAATCTGTTGAGTCGCAAAGTTCTCCATGTTCCTATAATAAATCAATTCCCCTGGGGGTACTGATACAGGAGTTTCCTTGTC